ACATAAAACCTACATTTAGTTTGGCTAATGAGAGTTTTTTTCATTCTTTGCAGTGCAGTCCTTAAAGAGCACCTGTGTTGTTCTGCCCTATCTGTCCTTGAGCTTAAAGCTCAGTCTCAGTACCTTCAGGTCCGGGTCTCTAGGGAAGCCGTGCTTGCTGTTAAATCGCCATGGCAACAGGAGATTTGAGGCCAATACGGGACTTGGTTTGAACTCAAAGCTTTAATCTTCTCTTCCTCTCGGCTGAGCTTTGTTTTTAGCCCCTCTCACGTTCTTCCACAGACATCGCTCGTCACGTTTTTAAGGGTGTTTTAGCTGCCGGAGAAATTGCCTGAACGTGTTTTATTTATTCCGCTCAGACCTCACTGCTCTGCAGAGCCAGTTCAACCTGCTTTAATGAGAACTGCACCGCTACAAGGCAAAGTCTTAAGTAAATGTCAAACGAGAGGTAGAACGATGAGAGAATAAGCAAAAGTAACAGAAGCAGCAGAAGAGCTGAAAGAAGTTTTTTAAAAAAGGAGATGAGACAGCGATCCCACACAGACTCATGCATCATTCATGCTGGGTGGGAACAAGCTGCTGTCTCTTCCTTTCACCCTGATTCTTCTTCTGAACACATCCACCTCTGAGTCTGCTCTTCACAACTGTGTCGCAGACAGCAGGTTCATGAAACTCTGGGCTTTCATCAGACCTCTGACCCATCTGAAGAATCTAGAAGTGGAGCTAAGCAGCAACGTTTCACTATGGATGCAAAAATAAACACATAATAAAACCTTCTTTGTTATGTGTAGACACAATACTGTTTTTATCCCTTCTTTATCCAAGTCTTTTCTCAAAATTAAATGATTCGTAAGTCTGTGTTTAGCCCTTTTTACAAAAAAAAAATATATATACAGCTTTGCATGAAAATAGTTGGAAAGACTGAAGTGAAATTCGTCGAACAAGCAGCCAAAGCTCAAAAACACAACAAGAAAGACCTTTTAGAAAATTATCTTTTAAGATCATTTTAAAATATATAGCAGAAACTTACTTAGTTTAGCAAAATACTTAGAAAAATAAGGCATTGTGCAGTGTTGCAAATGTATCAAAAAGAAAAAATAAGTAGGTCYTCTGGATGGGTTCTTCTTTAGTGAAACGTTTCATCTCTCCTTCAAGAGACTTCTTCAGTCTGATGAGTTTCAGGTGAACTCAGCCTTATAAGCACTGCCTCCACATGGTGGACAAACAGGTTAGTCACATGCAAAAGAAGGCAATCGCCTAACAATAGGCTTGATTAGCTCTATTTAGTCACATGCAATAGGGGTCATTGCCTATTGTTAGGCGATGGCCCCCTTTTGCATGTGACTAACCTGTTTGTCCACCATGTGGAGGCAGTGCTTATAAGGCTGAGTTCACCTGAAACTCATCAGACTGAAGAAGTCTCTTGAAGGAGAGATGAAATGTTTCACCAAAGAAGAACCC